ACTCAAAGGCCATGGGCAGGGACTGGCGCTAGCAGTCCAGGCTTAGGATAAGAAAAGGGGGTGGGGGCAGTGTATGCCTGCAGACCTTAACTTTATTTCCTGCCCCTCCAGCCCAGCCCCCCACCCCCACCCCTCCTGTCCAGCCCGGAGCACTGGGGAGAAGCCGGAAGTCTTGCAGGCCGGTGGTTTCCAGCCACTGCCCAAAGTCCCAGTTCCCTTTTGGTGAAATCCCCAGACAGCCTAAGCCCTCTCGCCTAGTCTGAGAACTTCTCTTTCTTCACAAGCCCCGCCCCCTTCCCTGTCCTCCCTCCCTTCTTCGCTCAGAACAGAGGGAAGTGAAAGTTCTCTGAGCACCTACTGTGTGCCTGTTGCTTTCTGGGCCCTTCTCAGTTGATGCTCAGGAGCAGTCTGCAGGGAAGATTTGCATTCCTGTCGTTCACAGGCAAAGAACTGGAACCTCAGAGGGATGAACTGACTTGTGCAAGGTCAAGCTACTACTCATCAGGCAAGGGAAGAATTTGAACCTAGATCTGTCTTTAGATCCTCTAGATGCTTGCTAGGAGCTGGGGTGGACAAGACATTCTGTGTCTGAATCTAAGCTTGAACATAACCTTGGCACGTGGAGTCCAGGGGAAGCAATAGCTGGGTCTGGGGCTCCTAGGTCCTGGCGGTGTGGGGAGATAGGAGCAGGGAATTATGAGTGAAAGTCTGTTCCTTGCTGGGTACCCAGCTGTCATAAGACAGGTGCAGATGGCCAGGGGCTGGGTAGAAAGAATGATTCTCACCAGTTGGGGTGAATGTCCAAATGCTGCGTAGGCTTTGGAGAACACAGCCCAATGCCAGGAACAGAATTCTGGACCTGAATCCTGGCTTGGAATCTTCTGCCTCAAGGTGTGTGTGGCCTCAGGTGGTCACTCCTCCTGCTACCCAGGAGGCAGATAAGTGGCCTGAGTAATGTCCCTTGGGGCCTTGTGACTCTGCCTCTGGTGGCTCTCTGCCTTACATGGCCAAAGCACACTGAGCAGGAGTTGGATCTCATGAAGCTGTCACAGCTGTTCTGCACAGAAGGTACAGAAGAGAACACTGAGGCTCAGAGATAAAGCATCGGCTTGTCACTCACCAGACCAGAGATGTTGAAGGACAGAGCTGGGAAGCCAGATGTGCTGGTGCATGCTTGGAATTCCAGCACTTGGGAGGCTGAAACAGGAGGATCCCAGGCTTCCAGCCACCCTGGACTATAGAGCAAAAACCCTGTCTGAAAGACAAAATAAAAATGAAAGAACAGAGCTAGGGAGGGCCACACTGGGTAGATGTTAAATCCGAAAATATTGTGGTCCAGGGTTAGATCTCACACAGCTCACATACCTGTAACCTGATTTGAACCCTGGTGGGTCTCTGGGAGCTTATTCCTATCAACCAGATGTTCGAGAGATTTATTTAGGACTGAGGGTGTAGCTTAGTGGTAGAGTACGTGCTTAGCATGTACAAGATCCTGGGTTCAATCACCAGCACACACACACACACACACAAAGACACTGATAAACAGACATAAGTCCCTGCAGTGTTTACAATGCTGGTGGATAGCCTTTCTTTCCAGTGTTTATCAGGCAGCCAAGTTCACTGCCTCTGAGAAAAGACAGACAGGACAGATTGCTGTTTCTGGGCTATAATTTAGGATTTAGAGCGTGTAGCACTGTGTCTAGCACACAGTGGGCCCTCATAAAGAGACACATATTATTGCTCCTACTAGTGCTGCAAAATAGAACAGTGCTGAGAGTGGGCCTTGGAGCCAGATTGACATTGTGCTTTTGATTCCCTTACTCAAAACAATAGTGTGTGTGTGTGTGCACGTGTGCCAGTCCTGGGACTTAAACATGGGGTCTGCACTTCTGGATTCTTGGTGGTTAATTAGAAATAAAAGTCTCACAGACTTTCCTTCCCAGGCTAGCTTTGAACCTCGATCATCAGATCTCAGCCTCTTGAGTAGCTAGATTTACAGGTGTGAGCCACCAGTGCCTGACCAGAATACAGACTCTGGTTAATATTTGGTCTGAACTCTGGGCCTCATTTTTTTCTCATCCATATAATAAGGGTTAAAAATAAAATCTACAAATAATAAGACCTACCCCAGAAAGCTACTTAGTGAGATCACACAGAGAAATTCACTGGCATGAATCTAGCCAATGTATAAATGTTGAATAAATCAGGACATTTTTGGTAATTGTGATGGCTACCCAGACTTCTAGGAAATCCAGTGGTTTCTGAGACAATTGGTCCAACACTTTAAGATCTGAGCAAAGGAAGGACAGAGTCTTGGGGGCTAGTTTCATGAAATGCATAAACTGAATTTCCAGCCTGTATATTCTCTCTTTTTCCCTCCCTCCCTCCTTCTCTTTCTCTCTCTCTTGTTTTCTCTTGGTCTTTTTAGTTCTCTGTCTCTGACTCAGACTCCTTTTTTTTTTCCCCCTTAGTCATGGGGCTTGAACTGAGGGCCTGGGCCCTCTTTGAGCTTTTTTTGCTCAAAGCTAGTGCTCTACCACTTCCAGCCACAGAGCTACTTCCTGTTTTCTGGTGGTTAATTCAAGGTAAGAGTCTCATGGACTTTCTTGTCTAGCCTGGCTTTGAACCTCAGTCCTCAGATCTCAGCCTCCTGAGCAGCTAGGATTACTGGCATGAGCCACAAGTGCCCAGCTGACTCTGACTCTTTATCTCTGCCTTTTTCCCCCCTGGTTTTTATTTTTATTTTGTTGTGCTGAGGATTGAACCCTCAAGTCCAGGGCCTTGCATAGTTGGACAAGCTAAATGAGCTAAATCTCAGTACTTGGTTTTGTTTTGAGGCAGGGTCTTACTATGTAGTTCAGGCTGGCCTTGAACCATGGTCCTCCTGCCTCTGCCTCCTGAGTGCTGGAATTACAGCCATTCACCACCACACCCAGTTTTTGTTGCTCTTCTTTCCCTTGCACTTCAGTCTCTGCCTGTCTTGCTTTCTCCAGCTGGCACTGGCTCAGGGACATTGGTTCGGGAATTCAGGTGGGTATTAAATCAGCCATGATGGGAATATTTATATCACGGAAATCAGCAAAAGCTGCAAATGAGGGCTTTGGTGTTTTGGTTCTGCTTTAATTTTCTGAGCACCAGTCTCTTGACACACCATGCTGCTTCTCTATTTCTCTGCCTTTGCCAGTCTCTTTCTCAGCGTCTGCACCTCTCAGTGTCTGCCTTGGTCTAGCTTTCTTGTTTGTCCTCTGATGATCGGTGGCATGTAATGTGGCCCTTCCTTGTCTAGGGCCATGTAGACACCATGGTGGGGGAGGGTCACCCTGTGTCGTACCCTCTCTCTGAGCGTCTCTGAATACTGTCAGGGCCCTCTGGGGCCTTTGTCTTCTCAAGCCTGCAGGTTGATCAAGCCTGAGATCTGCCTGCTGGTCACACTGCCAGCCCATAGCTCAGCGTCTCCCACCCAACCCCCACACTAGGCCTGCAGACTCTGGAGCTCCCCTGAGGCTGATAGAGCTCTGTTGTGGCGATGAGCACTTGGCTGTTATTGGAAGGGGCAGCACTGTGGCTATGTGGGGACCCCAGAGTTCTGGAAGTCTGTGTTCTGTACAGGAGAACTCTCGTGGAGGTGTGTGTGGAGGGGGTGCAGCTCCATCTCAAGGGAGCGCCTTGTGTATCTGTGACCCACTAGGGGCTATGCATTCGCCAGAGCAACTGTCCATGTCTATAACAGACCGTGCAGACATCTCAGATTCTGGGCTCAGTGCCAGGCTACATACATCACCTGTGGGACTTGGAGCAAGTTTCTAAGCCTCTCTGGGCCTTAGCTGCCTCATTAATATGCTTGTGTGTGTGTGTGTGTGTGTGTGTGTATGTGTGTGTGTGTGGATGTGTGTGTGTGTGGATGTGTGGGGGGGGGATGTGTGTGTGGGTGGATGTGTGTGTGTGTGTGTGTGTGCATACATCGGTACTAGGGCTTGATCCAGGGTCCTTGGCTCTTGCTTGTCTTCTTTGCTCAAGGCTGGCACTTTACCACTTGGATCACACATCCACTTCCAGCTTGTGGAGATAAGAGTCTCATGGATTTGCCTGCCTAGGCTAGGCTGGCTTCAAATTTTGGATGGATTTTTTTTTTGGGGGGAGGGTCCGGTTGTGGGGCCTGAACTCTGGGCCTGGGCGCTGTCCCTCAGCTCTTCAGCTCAAGGCTAGCACTCTACCATTTGAGCCACAGCACCACTTCTGGCTTTTTTCATTTTGCTTATGTGGTGCTGAGGAATCGAACCCAGGCCCTCATGCATGCAAGGCAAGCGCTCTACCACTGAGTCACCTTCCCAGCTCCTGGCTTCAAATTTTGATCCTTAGATCTTGGCCTCTTGAGTAGCCAGGATTATAGGCATGGGCCGGCCAGCTATTACAATGCTTTTAAATTACGGCTTTTGTATAAAACAAGGTGGACCAGACAAAGGGCCGAGTGCAGCAATAGCACATAGAGGGGCTACAGGGAGAGGCCGCGTGCGCACAGGGCCGGAGGTGGGTCCCTGTGGGTCCCTTCGCAGAGGGTCAGTTTGCGTCTGTCTGCGTGGCTTGCTACGTGTCTCTCAGACCATTCATATACCCTAGAGCATGTGAGGTGGCAAGCGCAGATCTGGGGGTTAGCTCAGAGCTAGTTCGGGGTGTGCTGGTCTTCCTGAGATAGCTTAGAGTTTTCCTCTCGCCTTGTAACCCTTGCTTCCATGCAAGCTCCTCTCCCCTTTACCTTCCCTGAAGCTTCGCAGCTCCTTCCTGGGGTCTGCGTCCCCACCGCCTTTTTCTCCCCTGGTTCCAAACCATCCTGGCATGTTGGGGTCTTTACACACTGGTTCCCGCCCCCCCCAAGATTCTGGGGTGAAGATGTCTGCAAGGCCTAGTAAACAGGGGCTATTTTAGGTGAGCCCTCTCACCACAGACCGCTTCACAGTTTGCCACATGGGTGTCACCCCTTCCCGCTCTAACACACATGGGGGGACAGTTCTAGTGACGGCTAAGCAGGGACTGACTGGTGAGGCTAATGATGCCAGTCCTGGCTCTGATATGACAGAAGCAGCCAAGGGCTACCAGACCTTTTCAATCCAGGAAGGCTTCCTGGAAGAGGTGAGTGAGTGTGCTAGTAAGAAGGACAGGATCTGGAGAGAGGAGGATCTCCACAGGGGAACTGGCCCAGGACCGAGAGAGGCAAGTTGGAGGGCCTCCAGGTCCTATCCCCAGGATCTTCAAGGGCCTCTCTGGGGGAAATTGGGGTTTGCCGAGTTGGCCCCACCTTACAATTCTTCATTGCTCTCACATCTTAGGAAATCCAGCCTTCTCCCCAGCCAGTTCCTCTCTGGGTGTTGCAATGGTGGCATTTCTGATGGGGGGGGGGAAGAGGTGGGGACCCCTTGCTCAATGAGCTGACTGTTGGGTTGCTCAGAGAACTCAGCTGTCAGGGAAGGCTTAGTTGGTCTGGCGAGCATCACAGGAGACTATGATGGCCCCCAACTTCTGACTTGGGCCTTTCTCTGCCGTGGGGGATAGGAGCAAAGCTTTGGAGGTAGGTGTTTACTTGCATTCTGCCACCAGAGGTGACCCTGGGTCTTGTAGGCTTTGCCCAACCCAGACTGGGCTCAGAGGCAGGCTGCTAGGAAAGGGTTTGGTTTTAGGAGACAGTAGCTGGGGCTTGCGAGTGAGCTGACAGGAATCTCCTGCAAGAGATGGATCTAAAGCTGGGCATGGTGGGCCCCGTCAATAATGCCAGCCACTAAGGAAGTGGATTTGGGTGCATTGTGATTTAAGGCTAGCTTAGGTAAAAAGCTAATGAGACCTCATCTCAACTAACAAGCCTCTGAGTTCATACCTGCGGTTTCAGCTACTTGGGAGGCATAAGTAGGAGCAGCTTGGTTTGAGATTTGCCTCAGGCAAAAATATAAACCCCCAAACCAAAAAAGGATGGGAATATGATTCCAGCAGTAGAAGCTGAGGCCCTGGACCTAAACAGAAAACTCTGAGTGTGGAAGTGTACGAGTAGGTGTAGGTGTAAGTGTGTGCGCTATTGCAGAGCGGAGCTTGGATCTTTCTCCAGCTGTGCGGGTGTGTGGTGTGCTGGCAAGCTTCTGTTGTGTGTGGTGTGGCTGTGTGCTGGTGTGTGTGTGTTCATGGGTTGGTGTCAGGTAGAATGAGAGACAGCTGGTGTGGGTGGTGTGTCCTGGACAAGAGTAGGTGTGTGAGTTGCCAGGGTGGTGGGAAGGGAAACGAAGGCAGAAGTCGTGCTGGTGGAGCCCAGGCCTCTGGCGTTCTGAAGAGGGCAGGAGCTGGGCAGTTGGCTGCCAGGAACATTGGCAGGCCTTCATCTTCCCTGTTCTCCTGTCTCGCCTCAGGTCTTCTGCCCCTCCTGAGGACCATGCAGCAACCCCACTGACCCAGGAGTAAGATCCCCGCAGGGTGAGTGGAAGTGAGGGAGGACTGAGGCTTTCAGGGCCAGGAAATGGGGTGGGGTGGCCTTTCTGTGCCCCACAATGCCTGCCTCACAGCCCCCTCCTCCTACAAGGGCCCTGTTGCTAGGTAACGGATGGGGGAGCCAGAATGAGGCAGCTTGAGAGGCCGGAGGCTGGACCCACGACAGGAAATGGCCTTGATCTCCCTCTGTAGGGAATCTCCAGGTGCAGGCTTACGGCGCTGGCTCGCACATTCATACACAGACCCACGCGGATACACGGACCAACATGCACACAGAGACACACAGACATACCCAGAGGACACGTGCTTCCACACAGAACCGCATACAGTCATAGACAGACCAGACACACCTACCCACACAGACTGCACGCACACGCACATGCACACACACACACATAATTCTGCAGATGTGTGCATGTAACCAAACATATCTGCACATACTTCTGTATACAGACAGTGTGTGCACACCCTAAAGCTGTATACATATACACATATAAGCAAACACATTAATTTCTTCTTTGAGTATGTGTGTGTGTGTGTGCATGGGTGTGTGCTGGTATTGTTACAGCAACAAAGACCAGCAAAGATTAAGACCACTTTTTAAAGAGGATAAAGGAGGGGCTGGGAAGGTGGCTCAGTGGAAGAGGGCTTGTCTGGCATGCATGAGGTCCTGGGTTTGATTCCTCAGCACCACATAAGCAGAAAAAACTGGAAGTGGCGCTGTGGCTCAAGTGGTAAAGCACTAGCCTTGAGCTGAAAAGCTGAGGGACAGAGCCCAAACCCAGAGTTCAAGCCCCATGAACAACAACAAAAAAAAAGATAAACGAGTTTATTGCTGGTGACATGAACCAGACTAGTGTCAGAAAGAAGTTCACATCCTTAGGAAGTGGGGACTATGATGTTATGTCTGGTGGTTAATTGGAGATAAGAGTCACAGACTTTCCTGCCCAGGCTGGCTTCAAACTGCAGTCCTCAGACCTCAGCCTCTTGAGTAGCTAAGACTACAGGCATGAGCTACAGTGCCTGGCTTATGAGACTCTTATCAAATTAATCACCAAAAAGCCTGAAGCGTGTCTGTGGTCCAAGTAGTAGAACACTAGCCTTGAGCAAAAAAGCTAAAGGACAGTGCCCAGGCCCTGAGTTCAAGCCCCAGAATCAGCACCAATCAATCAATCAAACAAACGAATAACACTGCAATATCAGGATGTTAGCACCAGCCTGAGCGGGCACAGGGGCCAGCTCTGAGGAGGCACATACTCTCTGTAAGCCTAGGAAGGCAGCTGGGAGGCAGGCTCAGGGGTGGCCCTGCCCGCCTTATCCCTCACTAGAGGGCTACTCCAGTCCAGGCCCTGGAGTGAATGCATGTGTGCTCAGGATGGCACCCCTGGTACAGGCCCTCGAGTCAGGCATGTTCTCATTCTGCAGCAGGGTACCTGGCATGGGCTGCGTGTTCTGCAAGAAGGTAGAGTCAGCACCCAAGGAGGATGTCGGCCTGGAGGGGGACTTCAGGAGCTACGGGGCTGCAGATCGCTATGGCCCTGACCCCACTCAGGCCCGGCCCGCGTCCTCCTTCACCCACATCCCCAACTACAACAACTTCTCCCCCCAGCTCACCAGCCCTGCCACCCTCGTCGGAAGCACCATTAGGGGCATCTCAGGTGGGTCCACAGGGCTGGAGGCAGGGGTTGCTTGGGCCCTGGGAGAGAGTGTGGGGCACAGGGAGAGTGGATTTGTCCTTAGAAACTTCCAGAGTGATGTGGGCGCCACAGTCCTGCTCTCTACTTGCACAGGCTGAGGGACTGTGTACCCTTGTACCCTGGAACCCCAGTCTAAGGGGACTGGAGCTCTGTTCTCACCTGAGAGGGCTCCCATTGGCCAATGCAGGTGGTAAAAGAAGCATCTGGCCTCTTAAGTATCGAATGGAAAGTCTTCTTAAAGGGGCAGGAGAAAGAGGGGTAGGCAACTTAGGGGCTCCCCGGCATGAGAAGGGCATGGAACCCCATGCTTCAGATCCATGGGAGCCAAGCTGGGAAACCCAAAGCAGGAAGCATCAGGAAGGTATGGTGTCTGGCTGGGGAACTGGAACCTAGGGGTGCAGCCCTCTTGGTGCCCTCACTCTTGCTGAGTAACCCCTGCCTCTGCAGGGGCCGGTGTGACCCTGTTTGTGGCTTTATATGACTATGAGGCCCGGACAGAGGATGACCTGACCTTCAGCAAAGGCGAGAAGTTCCACATCCTGAACAACAAGTAAGTGACTGAGGCGTGGCCTGATCTGGGAGCAGGGCCCAGAAAAGAGTCCCATCCCACCTGGTCCCCGTCCTCAGAAAGTTCCAGCCAAGTTGGGGACACCTCTGCATGACAACATAAACCTTGGGTGAGGACCACAGTTCAGTGGTAAAGCATTTGCCTGGCTTCATAGCACCAACACACCAACAATCAGCTTGATTGATTGCTACATGAGATGGGAAATTGTGAGCACAAAAGGAACACTAAGCCTCGTCTCCAGAAAGGAGGTGACAGGCAGGCTTCCTCGAGGAGAGGTTTGGCTGAGATAAGAAAAATGACTAGATCGCCAAAGAAGTGACCAAAGAGAAAGAGAGGATGAGAATATTGACAAATGGTCTGTGAGGATGGACCGTGAGGGATGGAGGCTGGGCTGGGAGTGTCGCTCAGTCAGTGCTACAGCAAGGCCCTGGGTCCCACTGCAGGAAATGAATGAGATACAGAAGGAGTAGAAGCCATGGAGGTGAGTGGGGAAGAGCCTGGAAGGTTTTTCAGCTGCACTGAGGAGTTTAGATTTCATCCAGGAGGAAAGGCATAGCCCTCTGGGGTTTTCAGTGGGGGAGAAATGTCCTCATCAGCTATTTGCTGCTTCTCCCCAGACCTCAGCCTAGCAGGTAGCAAAGAGCAAGAGGAAGCAGCCAGGAAGCCCAGGCATTCTCAACCCTATTCCTTCTTTAAGAACCGAACAGACAAAAGCCCCCCCACCCCCACCCCAGGCTAGATGTCCAAGGTCAGGGTTAGCAGGGTCAGGCTTAGCCATCCTCGGTGTGGCCTGCTAGCCTCAGAGTGCCCATGGCTTGAGCTGCCCCTGTCTAACTCACCCCCCATCCCCCGTTATGTGCCTGCAGTGAAGGAGACTGGTGGGAGGCTCGGTCCCTCAGCTCTGGAAACAGTGGCTACATTCCCAGCAACTACGTGGCTCCCGTGGACTCCATCCAGGCAGAAGAGTAAGTGGGGATGGGGGAGGATGGGGTGAGGCCCGCCCTAGCCACAGGACCCTGGGTTCTAAATGCCAAGACCACTTCTAAGTCACTGCTTTACGCTGAGCTTGCCTCCTTCCTTGTCCTTCAATGTGTAAAGTTCTGGAGGGAGTAAAAGAGTCAATAACAGCTGGGTGCCAGTGGCATCCTAGCTACCCAGGAGGCTGAGATCTGAGGATCACTGTTCATAGCCAGCTCAGGCAGAAAAGTGCGTGAGACTCTTACCTCCGATTAACCACTTTTTTTTTTTTGTCTGTCCTAGGCTTTGAACTGAGAGCCTGAATGCCATCCCTGAGCTTTTTTTTTTTTTTTTTTGCTCAGGGTTAGCACTCTACCACTTTGAGCCAAAGATCTACTTCTGGTTTTCAGGTGGTTAATTGGAGATAAGAGTCTTCGGCTCAGGGAAGCTGAGACCTGAGGATTGTGGTTTGAAGCCAACCCAGGCAGGAAAGTCCATGAGACTCTTATCTCCCATTGACCACTAAAACACCAGAAGTGGTGCTGTGGCTCAAAGTGTGGAGTGCTAGCCTTGAGAAAAATAAAAACCTCAGAGACAGCACCCAGGCCCTGAGTTCAACCCCCTGGACCTAAAAAAACAAAAACAAACTAAGAATCTTCTGTTTGGGCTGACTTTGAACTGCAATCCTCAGATCTCAGCCTCAGCCTCCTGTGTAGCTAGGATTACAGCATGAGCCCCAGTGCCACACTGACTTCAGGATTTTTGCTGGTTAATTAGAAATAAGAGTTACACAGAGACTTTTCTGACTGGGCCTCACTTCAAACGGCAATTCTCAAATCTGAGTAGTTAGGATTATAGACACATGGGTTTACAGATTTTCTTTCTGTCCTTCCTTCCTTTTCCTTCTTTCCTTCCTTCCTTCTTTCTTTTTTGCCGCTTGAACTCAGGGCCTGGGCACTGTCTCCAAGCCTCTTCGTGCTCAAAGCTAGTGCTCTACCACTTGAGCCACAGTGCTACTTCTGACTTTTTCTTTATGTGGTACTGAGGAATCGAACCCAGGGCTTCATGCATGCTAGGCAAGCACTTTACCACTATGCCACAGTCCCAGAGCATACATGAGACTCTTATCTACAACTGACCACCAAAAAGCTGGAAGTTGAGCCAACTCAAATGTTAGAGTGGGGCTGGGGAGGTGGCTCAGTGGTAGAGCGCTTGCCTTGCATGCATGAAGCCCTGGGTTCGATTCCTCAGCACCACATAAACAAAAAGAAAAAAGCCAGAAGGGGTGCTGTGGCTCAAGTGGTAGAGTGCTAGCCTTGAACTGAAGAGCTGAGGGACAGCGCCCAGGCCCAGAGTTCAGGACCCACAACCGGACCCCCCCACACACACAAAAAAATCAAATGTTAGAGTACCAGCCTTGAGCAAAAAGGCTCAGGGACAGTGCTCAGGCCCTGAGCTCAAGCCCCAAGACTGGCACACACACATACAAAACATGGAAGAGAATTTGCAGGAAGGGACTCCCCAGGATTTGGTGACTGATTTGCTGTTGGGTTTGGGGGTGTAGGTAGCAGTGCTAAATGCTATAGTGGGGGGACATGGGAGCAGGTAGAGACACGTGGGTTTTGTGGGCCTGCTGGATGGAGGTTTGTGGAGATGAATACCTAGGTAGAGGAGGCTGCCAGCCTTTAGACCAAATGGTGCCCATGGCACCGCTGCTTTAACCCAGAGGAAGGCATACTTGCTCCTGACACTAAAGCTCTTTAATTTCTTCACTGTGGCCCTGCCAGGTAGCACTGTCAGGGAAATATTGGAACTTGGGTTCCCCAAAAGGAAGAGACATTGGAGAAGGCAGGAAAACCAGGCCAAGCCAGTACAGAAGAGCCAAGGAGAAGAGAGGTGAAAGGAAATTTCAGGCCACAGGGGCGGGCGGGTCAGAGGCTGTCATTGGACTTGACAATGGGGTGACCTTGTTGAAAAGAGGAAAGACAGAAGAGCCTGCGAGAGTGGGAGACAGGGAGGAAGTAGAACCCGAGTGTGAAGTGCATTTCTCAGTGAAGTCGAGGTGAGAAGACAGCCAGATGGACAGATAGATGGGTAGATGCCAAGGGCAAGATGGCAAGATGGCAGTGGGACCTGTCCTCTGAGGAAGGGAGGAGCTGCTTGTGGGGTGGGGATCCCCGGAGCAGAGGGAAACAGGCAGGGTCCAGAACGCAGAGTGTGAGCCCGTAGTCTCAGGAGGCTCATGGGTAGGTGGCTGAGGGAAAGGAGGCGTGATGGACAGTGCTGGGTCTCAGCACAGACAACTTGGGGTCCTACTCGGGTATCACAATGGCCTCAGAAGATGCTTAACTATTCAGAAGCTCAAATTCCTCTTCTGCTTAGTAGCATGAGAACAGTTCCTACCTCCCAACCTGGTTATGAGAACTCAATGAATACAGAGAAATGATCAGCTGACCCTGACTTGTCCTGGTATAGGTGTGGGCAGAGCACTGGTCCTTCACATTCTTCTCAATGTCTTCCCTTCTTCCCCAAACTATGCCACATACCCAGGTGAAGACAGATTGTGTCAGAGTCCACTGAAACTTTAACCTCCCTTGATGGGAAAACCAAGCTCCTTTTTAATTCAGCTCAAATGGTCCCAGTCCTATTTAATGATCAGATGAACCTTCCATAGCACCTGCAGTCACTAACTCCGCCAATGGACTTTCCCAGTTGGTAAAGGGTTACAATTCAACCCCAGAAAGAATTGCCAAGAGGGGGGGAAAAAAAAGGAGTGGGTAGGGGCTGAGGTTAAAATTGAGACTCAGGACAACACCCACGTGGGAGAGAGAGAGGGAGTGGGTGGAAAGTGGCAGACACTGCCAGGGCTGGAACAGGCAGAATGAGAGGAAGAGAAGCAAGACAGCTCGCTCTGGAAGCCACAGGAAGGAATTTGGGGCTAAGGGGGGGAGAGGGATCTGGGTGGAGGGGCAAAGCCTAGGATGAGTGGCTGACAAGGTCAGGTGAAACAGTCAGCCAGACTCACAGGCAAGTCACTTCCCCTTCCCAGCTGAAAGCTCCTTATCTGTAATGAGTACGTGGAGAGGGCTGCTGAGAGATGGGCTGACACCGCGATGAGCTCACTAGTGACTGGGTTCAAGAATGTGGTTTTTTTTGTTTGTTGGTCACGGGGCTTGAACTCAGGGCCTGGATGCTGTCCCTGAGCTCTTTTGCTCAAGGCAAGCGCTCTACCACTTTGAGCCACAGCTCCACTTCCATTTTTCCTGGTGGTTAATTGGAGATAAGAGTCTCACACAGACTTTCCTGCACAGGCTGGCTATGAACTGTGATCCTCAGAGTTCAGTCTCCTAAATAGTTAGGATTACATGACAGGCGTGAGCCACCAGCGCCGGGCTTAGAGCATTTGTTTTTATGCCAGGGCTGAGGGTTGAACTCAGGGCCTGGTGGTCTCCCTTAGCTTTTTCGCTCAAGGCCAAGCCCTCTACCACTTGAGCCACAGCTCCATTTCCAGCCTTTTTTTCTTTTCTGGCTAATTGGCAAGAAGAGTCTCATGGATTTTCCTGCACAGGCTAGCTTTGTACTGTAACTCTCAGATCTCAACTTCCTGAGTAGGATTAAAGAGGTGAGCCTCTGGTGTCCAACAGCTATCTTTCTGGTTGTTATTTTTTGACACAGGGTCTCAGTTATGTAGCCCAGGCTGGCCTTGAACTCTCAGTCTTCCTGCCTCAGACTCCTGAGTGCTGGAATTACAGACATGCACCACTATGCCTGGGTTTTTAGCCATTTTAATTTGAGACCCCTAACCATTATTAGGCAACCCACTGTGTCAGACATTTTCTGCTCCCATTTTCTGGGATCCTCAGGCCTAGGTATATGAACCCCATTTTTTCCCCTTTGGTCATGGGGCTTGAACTCCGGGCTTGGGTGCTGTCCCTCAGCTCTTCAGCTCATGGCCAGCACTCTACCACTTGAGTCACAGCGCCACTTCCGGTTTTCTGGTGGTTTATTGGAGATAAGAGTCTCACGGACTTTCCTGCCTGGGCTGGCTTTGAATCACGGTCCTCAGATCTCAGCCTCCTGAGTAGCTAGGATTACAAGCGTGAGCCACCAGTGCCTGGCTATGAGCTCCATTTTATAGATGAGGACATTGAGTCTTGGCTTGTGGCGTGACTGCTCAGGAGGTGGAGTTGGGGTTTAAGGGAGCATACTGGACTCTTGCCTCTCCTTGCCAACAGGTGGTACTTTGGAAAGATCGGGAGGAAGGATGCAGAGAGGCAGCTGCTCTCACCAGGCAACCCGCAAGGCGCCTTTCTCATTCGGGAGAGTGAGACCACCAAAGGTGGGTGCAGCACTAAGTGTTACTGACCCCGGAAGCCCAGACATTCTGGTCAGTAGAGACGGGGATCAGGTGGAGGGGCAGGGCTAGGCCGGCTGAGCTAGGGCTGCTCTGGGTTCTACAGATGTGGACCTCAAACTTAAGAGTCTCCAGCCTTTGGGGCCTCTTTCTGTTCCCTAACAGGGTAGAAAGGTGTTGAGCAGTTCCTAAGTGACCCTTCCTCTCAGGTGCCTACTCCCTGTCCATCCGTGACTGGGACCAGACCAGAGGAGATCACATAAAGCATTACAAGATTCGCAAACTGGACACGGGTGGCTACTACATCACCACGAGGGCACAGTTCGATTCCGTGCAGGAGCTGGTGCGGCACTACATGGGTGAGCTGGTGCTTTGGAAGCGGGAGCCAAGGCAATGATGCATGGCCATGGGTAGACAAAAGCCCAGAAGTAGGAGTGGCCAGGCCAATACTACAACCCAATGATGGAGGAGGTTTCCATGCTGAGATCCTTCATGGGTGTGAAACCACTCATGGCCAAGTAGCGCCTCCTAATGTCTGGGTGGGGAATGGGCTTAATTCTTGCTCGGAGGCCTGAGCCTGTAGAAGGGGCTGGGCTGCACTTTAGTGAGAAACCGTAGTGTTGGGTGGACCTTGGATACCAGGTGGCGAGGCAGAATGAGGATCTATTAAGAAGCAGTGGCCATGATCTGAGAGCGAGGTGGTCATCACCAGATCAAATCGGAGGCAGATGATTCTGAAGCAGGGCAGGAAGGTATGGGCCTCCCTGGATAACCTGGCTGTGGGGTTGATTAGTTCCACCTTAAATAGTTAGGTCAAGGATGATATCCATAGAAAGGAGAGGGCCTAGCCGGGCACCGGTGGCTCACACCTATAATCCTAGCCACTCAGGAGGCTGAGATCTGAGGATCACCGTTCAAAGCCAGCCCGGGCAGGAAAGTCCGTGAAACTCTTACTTCCAATAAACCACCAGAAAACCAGAAGTGGCACTGTGGCTCAAGTGGTAGAGTGCTAGCCTTAAGCTGAAGAGCTCAGGGACAGCACTCAGGTCCAGAGTTCAAGCCTCATGACTGACCAAAAAGAGAAAAAGAAGAGAAAGAAAGAAAGAAAGAAAGAAAGAAAGAAAGAAAGAAAGAAAGAAAAGAAAAAAAGAAGAGAAAGAAAGAGGGGGGAGGGAGGGAAGAAGAGAGGTTGGGAGGGAAGGAGGGAAGGGAGGGCCTTGGCCTGGGAATGTGGCTTAGTGGTATAATGTTTGCCTAGCATGTGAGAAGCCCTGGGTTTGGCTCCTCAGTACTACATAAACATAAAAAGCTGGAATTGGCACTGTGGCTCAAGTGGTTAAATGCTAGCTTTGAGCAAAAGAAGCTCAGGGACAATGCCCAGGCCCTGAGTTCAAGCCCCAGGACTGACAAAAGAGGGGGGAAAGAGAGAGAGAGAGGGAAATGGGGAGAGAGGGGGGGAGAAGGAGAGGGAGGAGAGAGAGAAAGAGGAAAGGGGGAGAAGGAGAGGGAGAGAGGGAAAGAGCAGGAGAAAGAGAGAGGGAGAGGGAGGAGAGGGGGTCTTGTGTTTACAGCTTTGCTTCTAACCCCCCAATCCCTGTTCCACCTGTCAGAACCTTACTTTATCCTCTGAGATTCCTAGCTACTCAGGTGGCTGAATATCAAGGTTCAAAGCCATCCTGGGCAGACTTCATCTCAAAATAAACAAGAGAAAAGCTAGCCTGGAGCCGGGCATCAGTGTCTCACTTTTAAAATCTTAGCTACGGGCTGGGAAGGTGGCTCAGTGGTAGAGTACTTGCCTTGCATGCTCGAGGCCCTGGGTTTGATTCCTCAGCACCACATAAGAAAAAAGCCGGAAGTGGCGCTGTGGCTCAAGTGGTAGAGTGCTAGCCTTGAGCTGAAGAGCTGAGGGACAGCGCCCAGGCCCAGAGTTCAGGCCCCATGACCGGACCCAAAAAAAAAAATAAAATCTTAGCTACTCAGGAGGCTGAGACCTGAAGATTTAGGTTTGAAACCAGGGCAGGAAGGTCCGTGAGACTCATAACTCCAGTTAATCACAGAAAAAGCCAGAAATGGTGCTATGGCTCAAGTCTCAAGTGGTAGAGTCCTAGACTTCAGCAAAACGGGCCCAGGGACAGTGCCCAGAGTTCAAACCCCAGGACCAACCAAAAAAAAAGAAAGAAAGAAAGAAAAAGCAAAGCTAGGGCTGGGAACGTGGCTTAGTGGTAGAGTGCTTACTTAGGATGCATGAAGCCCTGGGTTCAATTCCTCAGCACCACATAAAAGAAGAAGGAAGTGACTCTGTGGCTCAAGTGGTGGAGTTCTAGCCTTGAGCAAAAGAAGCTTAAAGACAGGGCTGGGATGTAGCTCAGTGGCAAAGCGCTTACCTGGCAAGCGCAACGTCCTGGGTTCGATCCCCAGTACCAAAAAAGAAAAGACCAAAAAAAAAGAAGCTTAAAGACAGTGCCCAGGCCTTGAGTTCAAGCCCCTGACAAAAAAAAAAAAAAATAGAAAAGAAAAGCTAGGCTGGAGGCATGACTCAAGTGGACTCAAGCGGTAGAGCAGCCTTGGAGCAAGCATGAGGCCCTGAGTTCAGACCCCAGTACCAGCAAACAAACACACCATAAAGGGCTCCTCTCTCCCCCTGGGTACTACCCCTTGCCTTGAGCACCAACGCGCTCACGCACGAAGAAGGCTGATTACCTTCCGTCTTGCCCTGTGACCTCATCTAGGGTCCAGTTAGATCTCGAGGGTCTAGTGCTAGATTAAAAGGAATGTGCCAAAAGTCCACCTATGACCTCCCTCCCTCCATCACCCCCCAGAGGTAAACGACGGGCTGTGTTACCTGCTCACCGCAGCCTGCACCACCATGAAGCCTCAGACGCTGGGCCTAGCCAAGGACGCCTGGGAGATCAGCCGCAGCTCCATCATACTCCAGCGCCGGCTGGGCACCGGCTGCTTCGGGGACGTGTGGCTGGGTATGGGGGTCCCGGGAGCCAGGGCAAGGGAGGGAGGAGGCGGGGCTGGGCTTGATGAGCCCCTGGCTGCCGGGCAGGCACGTGGAACTGTAGCACCAAGGTGGCGGTGAAGACGCTGAAGCCAGGCACCATGTCCCCGAAGGCCTTCCTGGAGGAGGCGCAGATCATGAAGCTGCTGCGACATGACAAACTGGTGCAGCTGTACGCTGTGGTGTCGGAAGAGCCCATCTACATCGTCACGGAGTTCATGTGTCACGGTGAGGGCGGGGGTCTGGGCAGGTGGAATTGGGCGGGAATTAAGGCTGCCACCGGGGAGGGTTTATGAGCCATAGGCCGAGCCCAGGGGAGGGGCTGGAGTGTGTCAACACTAGGAGGAATCGGGAGGGGCGGGGCCAAGACAGAGGGGAGGGGCGGGGCCAGGACAGAGAGGAGGAGCCAAGACCGCTGGGGCGGGGGGCGGGGCCAGGACAGCTGGGGCAGGGAGGGGTGGGGCCTGGGGCGAGGCAGAGCCTGCACGCTGGGTTGATTAGCTTACATAAACTCAAGCAGGGTCTGGGGTGAGGGAGGGTCTCTGGCAAATTCCCTTTGGCAAATACCCCCTGGTATATATCCAGGGGGCACAGGCAAAAACTAAAGATGTGGTCAGAGCCTGGGTGAGATTAGAAAGGAGTTGGACATCCCGGCAGGATCCTGAGAGGGGGCCAGATCTAGGTGGGAAGGCAAGACCGGGCCAGGTTAGCTTACAGGTACAGGATCAAGGTTAGTCTGGGGAGACAGGGCTGTTCTCTTAGGAATCTAGGCAGTCTCGCTGCTGATTTACAAGCTTCTTCTTCCCCAGGTAGCATGCTGGAATTCCTCAAGAATGAAGAGGGCCAGGTGTTGAAACTGCCCCAATTGGTGGACATGGCAGCCCAGGTAAACTGAGCCAGCAGCCTTCATCTCCTAGACTTCTCTCCTTTTGTCCTCCCACAAATCTCGGTGCCCTCAACCACCTAGAAGTGTGGCTGGCCCACATCAGTTATGAGACCAGAGGCATAGTCACTCTCTGAGCGAGCTTTGGCATCCCCAACCGGAGTGTGGACTTTTCAAGGGGTCCCTCACCCCTCACACAGGCTATACTACTGTTGGAACTCCATGTCTCTTAAACCTCTCCTGCCTCCAGGTAGCTGAAGGCATGGCCTACATGGAGCGTATGAACTACATTCACCGAGACTTGAGGGCAGCTAACATCCTGGTTGGAGAATGGCTGGTGTGCAAGATCGCTGACTTTGGGCTAGCTCGCCTCATTGAGGATGAGGAGTACAACCCCCAACAAGGTGACCTTCCTCACCCTAACTTTACAGATTACAAAGCGCCAAGGGGCTGCTGTGGGTCACATCTTCAGAAGCTCTTCCCCACTCTTAGCCCAGTCATCACTATCCTGAGGTGTGTCAGAGCCAGTGGTGGGTTCAAATCCTAGCTTAGCCATTTACCAGTCCTGTGTTGTGAGTGACTTACCCAACTTCTGTGAGCTACATTTTCTGGTCTGCAAAATGAAAATATTTACACAGTACGTCCATAGATACTTACCACATACCTACTAGGTACTGGGCACTGCTCTAATTCTCCAGTGTGAGGTACCAGGGTGTAACAGTGTGGAAGACCCAGAATGAATCCCAGCTACTTGGCTGTGTAGACAAGGCAAAGTGCTTACTCAATGCCTCCCCCGACCCCTGTAAGATGAGGTCATTCAGGCTGGGAATGTGGCTTAGTGGTAGAGTGCTTGCCTAGCATGCATGAAGCCCTGGGTTCAATTCCTCAATATCACATAAACAGAAAAAGCCAGAAGTGGCACTGTGGCTCAAGTGGTAGAGTGCCAGCCTTGAGCAAAAGAAGCTTGGGCTCAGGGTCAGTGCCCAGGCCCTGAGTTCAAGCCCCAGACTGACAAAAACAAAGCAAAACAAAATGAGGTCAAACACAGTATTTACTCCAAGAGCTTTTGGAGAGAGTTTAATGAGTTGATGCATCTATATGACCTAAAACAGTACTTGGCCCTGGTGGTTCATGCCTGTAATCCTAGCTACTTAGGAGACTGGTATCCCAGGAAGAAAAGTCTGTAAGATTCTTATATCCAGCAAAAAGCCCAGAAGTGAAACTGTAGCCGAAGTGGTAGGGCATCAGCCTTGAGCAAAACAAGTCAAGCAAGAGTTTGAGCCCCAGTACTGGCAGAGAAACGAATTAACTAATTAGCTGATTAATTAAATAAGTAAATAAATAAGGCAGTCCTGGGTTTGGGGTTATGGCTTAATGGAAACTCACTTGCCTAGGGCATAGGAGGTACTGAGTTTGGTCCCAGCATTAGAAGAAGGGGGGGATATAGTAAACACTAGATACATCTTAAGTGTTATTGTTGGAGAAATCTTATAATATTTAGAAAATGCACTGCACTATAGTATACACTGTGCGGCCTAGCAGGATACCCTGTCCTCTCTGCAGTGTCCAGAGATCTCTCTGCTCAGAGTCACTTGCTCATTCCTAAAGTCCCAGTCTATGAATCCAGCTGTTCTAACAGACCCCCTCACCAATTGCCTCTCCCATCTCCCATGTTTCCAGGGACCAAGTTCCCCATCAAGTGGACAGCCCCAGAGGCCGCCCTCTATGGGAAATTCACCATCAAGTCAGATGTGTGGTCCTATGGGATCCTGCTCACGGAACTCATCAGCAAGGGTCGAGTCCCCTACCCAGGTGTGTTGCTGGCAGGGGAAGGACTTCCTTGAAACTGTTCTTTGGGGGTGGGGCCAGGCCTCCGGATTAACACAATCTTACCCCGCAGGCATGAGCAACCGGGAAGTGTTGGAGCAGGTGGAGCATGGCTACCACATGCCCTGCCCCCCAGGCTGCCCAGTGTCCTTATACGAAGTCATGGAACAGACCTGGCGTCTGGACCCAGAGGAGAGGCCCACCTTCGAGTATCTGCAGTCTTTCCTGGAAGACTATTTTACCTCCACCGAGCCACAGTATCAACCTGGAGACCAAACATAGCCCTGTCTCTGTGGGTGCCCACCGGCCTTTGCAGTCCCCAGGGCTCTGGTCCCAAAACACAGGCTTAATACCCTGTAGAGTATTGGCCTATCAGGGGGGCTGAAGCTCTGACGCCAGCTAGGGCCACCCTCTTTTAGAGAAGGGGCAAATGGGGGCTAGGATCTCATTGCTCAGTTACTCTGACCCCAAGTACCATTTCTCCCCTTCCCACCCAGGCCCCACTCCTGAATCTAGGGTACCCCAGTCATTTCACAGATGGCGGAATGGATGCTCAGAGCTCATCTCACTCACCCTGACCCCTTCATGTCTTAAAGCCCCTCCATGTCTCATGTCTGTCCCCACAAATGTTCATACCTTGTCTAGTTATTTATAAACCACTATTTCCCTTCCCTCACTTTCCTCTTATTATTAGATACCTTCCCATCATCCCACTCTGGTCTAAGCCCTAAGAATTCATGCCCTTTGGACTCATGCCTTGATGGTTGGCTGCTCTGGTCCAGGAGAGAGAGTGTGTGTGTGAGAGAGAGAGAGAGAGAGAGAGAGGGGAGAGAGAGAGAGAGAATATGAATGAATTTACTGAAAGCCACCACCTCTCTGAAAAGTCTAAGCATTTATAGATTATCTAAATAATAAAAATGACAACATGAATCCTTAAACTACGAAAAACTATCTGAACCCTTATTCATGTGTTTATTTATTTTTGTGCCAGTAACAGGGTTTGAACTCAGGCCCTATGCTCTTGCTTTTCTTTTTTGCTTAACACTGGCATTCTACCACTTGAACTGCATGTCCACTTCTGGCTGTGTGTGTGTGTGTGTGTGTGTGTGTGTGTGTGTGTACTGAGGCTTGAACTCAGGGTCAGGGAGTTAGTTGTTCTTCATTTTTGTGCTCAAGTCTGGCACTCCACCACTTGAGCAAGCTAGCTGGCCTTGTCCCTCCGACTTCCATTGTTGGCTTGCTAAGGGTCCTGTCAGGTGCATGCTGCTGTTCATCCTACCAGTTCCTAAGAAAGGGAAGGCCTCCTGTCTACACTGAAGTGCATTGCTTGGTTTGTCTTCTTGTTTATTTAGTTATTTTTTGTGGTGGTACTGGGGTTTGAACTCAGGGTCTCATGCTTGCTTACCTGATGCTCTGTTGCTTGAGCTATGCCTCCAATCCTGACTTTTGCTAGATAGTTTGGAGATGGAATCGCACTGACTTTCCTGCCTGGGCTGGCTTCAAACTCTGAATCTCAGTCATCTGTGGAGCTAGGATTATAGGTATGAGCCTCTGGCACCCAGATTCTTTTCTTTCTTTCTCCTTTTTTTTTTTTTTTTTGGCAGTTCTGGGGTTTGAACTCAGTGCCTTCAGTTTGCCAGGCAGGTACTCTACCACTTGAGCCACATCTCTCTTCCTTCCTTTCTTTCCTTCCTCCCTTTCCTTTTTGTATTTTTCTCTGTGTCTGTACTGGGGCTGGAACTCAGGGTCTGGGCACTATACCATCGCTATTTTGCTCAAGGCTGGTGCTCTACCACTTGAGCCATACCTCTACTTATGGGTTTTTGCTGGTTAGCTGGAGATAAGAGTCCGATAGATTTTTCTTCCTAGACAGGCTTTTACTGTGGCCCAAACATCTCAGCCTCTTGCCTTCTTTTTTCTTCTGTTTTGTTTTTTGAGACAGGTCTCCTTATGTCACCCAGAATGACCTTGAACTCTCAATCTCCTGCCTCAGCCTCCTGAGTGCTAAGATTACTGACCTCTGACTTTATCAGCTTTTCCTTGGTGTCCAAGGCCTAAGTGGCAGAGCAAGGACTTACACTTAGTCTTCTAGCTCCCCAATCAGTGCTCTTACTCTGTATAGCCTTTTCCTGGAAGCAGATCACTCTGGCCTGCTTCTGGGCTTCTGCCTGGGCCTGGAGGCTCATGTGCTTTCACTGGAGGCCCCGGCAGGGCAGCGAACCATCTGGAGTTCACCAGACCTCTCACTGCTCTCCACAGAACAGAGCCTCCCCATGCCTCCCGGCTCCCCATCTCTCCCTTGGGAGAGAAAGAATGAACCTCCCCTGTACCCCCATTTCAGTACGGCCTTCTGTTCCCTCCAGATAGAGCACAATACAATTGATTAGGCTTCTGCTTTCTCAATTTCAATCACATCCTCGCCCTGCCTCCCTGAGATTACAGGCGGGTCACCTTGATTGCGGTTAGCACCACTCACGAGAAACTCTTCAGTCGTGTACAAAACCATCTCTCGCCTCATTCACTCCCCCCACCTGGCTCCTCTCCCCTGCCATGCCCGGGTTTCACTGGCTTGAGACTCAGAGGGCAATGTTATCTCCAAGTTCATGCTGGGGGAGGAGGACACCTAATTGACTAATGTTGGGTGTTTCGCATGCATCGTCTAATTTGATCCTCTCAGCAGGGCAGAAGTGAGATTGTCACCATTTTACAAAATAGGAAATGAAGACTCTAAGGGCCTTTGAGACACACTCAAGGTCATTCAACCAGATGATAGAGCCAGGATTTGAATTCAGAGTCTTTTTGTTGTTGTTGGTGGTGGTGGTGGTAGGGCTTGAATTCAGGGCCTGGGTACTATCCCTGAACTATTTATTTATTGCTCAAGGCTAGTTAGTGCTCTATCACTTTAAGCCACAGCTCCACTTCCAGGTTTCTGGTGGTTAATTGGAGATGAGTCTCATGGCCTTTCCTGCCCAGGCTGGCTTTGAATCGCAATCCTCAGATCCCAGCTTCCTACACAGCTAGGATTACAGGCATGAGCCACAGGTGCCTGGCTGAACTCAGAATCCTATGCAGCTCACTCTGTCAGTCCTCTGACGGAGCAGTGGAAGTATAATACTGCATGATGAGCTGGTTGCTGGTGGATCACTCCTGTAATCCTAGCTACCTCAGGAGGCTACGATAATCATTTTGTACAGTTGCTGCTGTCTTCTATGGGCTGGTTCTGTTCATGGAGCAAGGGCAGAACAGAAAACAATTAGAACACTTGAAATCAAGGTCAGTCTGTAAGCTCAGGAAGATTTATTATTATTATTATTTTTTTTTTTTAGTATGTGAAAACCTGATGAAATAACCAGAGTAAAGTCATCTCTGAATAGCATCTGCAGAGGCCCAGGAGATATGGCAGAACAATACCCATTCAGACAAGTACCAATAATTATGTACAGGAAGGCCAAGGGTGTAAATGAGGCAGAGAAGAAGGTTGAAGAGTTACAAGTGTCCAAAATGGTCCAGCAGTGATGTTCCTACTCCCTCTAGTGGAAGGTCTGGGCACTACAGTCAAAGTGCAAGAAACTTTCAGGGATAGGGTGGGGGGTAGGAAGTGGCCCTTCACAACCTTCTCATCCCAGAATAAAGGATGAGGCACAATTCCTACTCTCACAGACACAAGTTACTGGTGATGAGAGAATTAATGGATAGACATAGACACAACAGAAATGATAATTCAAGTTGTGTGACCAAAGAGGAAGAGGAATATTAACTCAGCTGGACAGGGTTCAGTTGGGGAGGCTCCTCAGAGGAGGTGTTGCTTTGCTAGGGACAATTTAAAAAAAAAAAAAGAAGAAGAAGAAGAAGAAGAAGAAGAGAGCCAGGCGCTGGTGGCTCATGCCTGTAATCCTAGCTACTCAGGAGGCTGAGATCTGAGGATTGCTGTTCAAAGCCAGCCAGGGCAGAAAAGTCAGTGAGACTCTTGTCTCCAATTAACCAGAAAACCGGAAGTGGCGCTCTGGCTCAAGTGGTAGAATGCTTACTTTGAGCTGAAGAGTTCAGGGACAGAGCCTAGGCACAGAGTCCAGACCCCATGACCGACCAAAAAAAAAAAAAAGAGAGAAAGAATTTACTTGGTAATAAAAGTCTAGACAAGTTCTAGGCATGGTGGAAATTGCATATGCCATCATTCAGGAGGCTGAGATAGGAGGATTTCAAGTTTAAGGTGAAATTAGGCTACATAGTGAGACCCCCACCTCCAAAAAGAAAAAGAAAAGCAAAGAACCAATATTTCATACTTGTAATCCCAATCCTAACTATTCAGCAGGCTGAGATCTGGAGGGTCACCGTTTGAAGCCAACCAGGGCAGAAAAAGCTGCTAGATTCCATCTCTAATTAACCAGCCAAAAGCAGTGCTAGAAGTATGAATGGCTCAAGTGGTAGAGTGCTAGCCAAATAAGCAAGCTGAGCAAGTGTAAGGCCCTGAGTTCAAATCCCATTGTCACCAAAATAAATAAATATTTAAAAATCAAGAGACAGACATTCCAGACTGGATTGAATTAAGCGAGTTCAGAAGGCAGGAAATGGAACTCCAGGGCGCTCCCCATGCTGATGACTGGAGTATTAAATGTGAGGGTGGTTAATGGGTAAAATGAGGATGATGAGGCAGGCGGAGCTCTGGTGCAGTATGTACTTGGCTGAGATTCTAAGCCCTGGGCAATAGGAAGCCTCTGCAGGGCTTTGAGCAGAGAGTAACAAGGTCACATTCACTTCTCAGAAGGAACCTTCTGGGTAACCAAGGTGGAAGAAAGATGAGAGAAGTGGCAGGAGCGGGACACCCCTTTGAACACAAAGAAACACACCAGTCACGCTCCTCGCCTTTAAACCCAGCACATCAAGACGCTTGATGACACTGAAAGACGTGTCTGAGGGGTCCCGGCTGAGCACACACACAACCATGTACTTACCATACGATCAGATTTATAACTTCAGTCCACAAAGACACAGCTACCCCTAGAGACAGGCAGAACCACAGGGGAATTCACACACACACACACACACACACAGTGTGGCTGTCAAGGGCCCAACCCTGCTCACCCCCCCCCCCAATCTTCCCCAGGTCCCTCACCACCTCTGGCAGGAACAAAGCTGACCTTTGCCCTGTGGCCTCTGGCCTCTCCTCCCACACCCCCTGCCCCAGAGGGAGGAGCTGTTTGAAGTCTGGACTGCAGCTGGGGTTTCCTGTTGCCTGGAGGAATGTGGGAGGAATTGTGCAGAGGAGGGAGCAGCGGCCCAGGAGGAGGGCTAATGGGGGCCTGAGGGCCTTAGTCTCCTCTGTACCACAGTAAGGGGGGCTTCCTGCTTTCCTGGTCTCTTGGGCCTCGGCTCTGAGGGCTTTTTTTTCCATCCAAAAGAGGGCAAACAGGCCTGTAGTGGTTCCTGTCTTGTTCTTGGATCTGCAGCTCGATGGTTTAGAACAAGCCTGAAATCTCTCAGCCTCAGTCTCCCTTCCCATGGGCTCTAGAAACCAGCACTTTCCCTGAAGCAACTCCAAGAGTGGAGACCCCCCCCCAACTTCTGTATTCAGGGAGAGTGGCCCCAGGGCCACCTTGGGTAACAAGGTTCATCTGTGTGACCTGTTGGTAATTATCATTAGTATTCATGACTTGAAAAATCTCTCCCCATCCCCTTTGTCAGTTTTCAGAGCATTTTCACATGGGTATTTTCAGTTACTCTTCTCAATAGTCCCGCTTCCACCCACAGGAAAACTGAGACTCAGACAAGTTAAGGACACAGCACAAGTAAAAGAAGGATCAAATCAGGTGGGTCTGGTTCCCAGTCCTTATCTCTGAATGTGATCTTTGAACTTGCAACAATATTTCCTAGGGTCTGGCTGTACCCTTCTGCTTACACTGGAACAAAAGTGGCTGGACAAAATTGGACCCAGAGAGAGGGGGTTTGCAGGCTCTTGGAGAACCTGAGATTCCCCTCCCTCAAATGTTTAGCTGAAACGTTTCACAGTGACATGGAGAATGGACACTAGGTGGCAGTAGCAGCCCACAGGAAGACTCAGCTTGCGCTCTGGGGGACCCCCGACAATAACTTGGAGAGGATCCATAAGAAAAGCCAGCCCCCAAATGCAAGGTTTGGTTTCCAGGGACATTAAGTGGACCCACTCCCACTGGAGGAAGGACAGATGAGGCAGCCTGGGGTATGAGGGGTAAGCTTGGGGGGGGTATGAGGGGTAAGCTTGGGGGGGGGAATGACCCAACTTCTGTTCCCCACTGCCCCCTCCCCTACCACTCACCTATCACTTAACTTCTCTCTTTCCATGCCTTTCCGAAGCTCCCCTTTGTCCCCACTTACCCCTAACCCAAGGTCCTTATCTCCTAGAAACTGTCCTGAATGACCCTATCCAACTCTCTCCCCAAACTTGATTCAGACTAGTAGGGTCTTCATAAACCTTCATTGGAGCCTAAGGTGTATCGGCAGCGAAAGAAGGAGGTATATGATCTTCTCTCACCCTCTCCAGTGCCAAGTCCTGTGGGGTGGCACCTAAGGCAAAATATTTGTACTAACTTCCCAAGTGCATTTGACACTACAAAGGGCCTCCAGTGACATTTTTGTTGTTGTTGTTAATATCTGACCTCATGGAAAACTTCACATTCAGTGAATAAGGATTTGAACCCAGGGCCTATCAGTCCCCAGATGGAGGCCTTGATTGGGTCATGATGCCAAATCAATAGAGCCCTTCACCCCTCCTATTCCTGCTGCACTCCACCCCAGGGCCCCTGTTCAGTCTTGGGGGGGGTGCAGGGGAGGGTCCAACTGCCCTGCAGGAAAGTTTGGGGTGTGGCAGAAGTGGAGAGAAGTCTGCTAGAGGGAGCTGCAGTTGGCAGACTCACCACTTGCCTTTCACACATGCTGCCCATCACCCTTCAGGGTCAAAGGAAGAGTTAGAAACAAGCAGGCTAAGGACAAAGGCATTGTGGGAGGAACTTGAGGTATGAAGCATGGTGGACTGGCCCTTTAGGCACGGGACAAAGAAATGTCAGACACACTGGGGAAGTGGAGACCAGCCCAGGACCAGTCAGAGCTGGTGTTGGTAGATATGGAGGACAGGAGACAGCGACTATGCATTCTTCACTTCCGTGTCCCCTGCAAACCTCAGCTACCATTTGTGGAACTGAAGAGGCCAGAAAGCACACACCAGACACAGGGGAGAGGACAGCCACACAGACAGGGACGGGAAGAGGGGAAATCACAATTTTCCCTGCCCTAGCCCAGTACAGAGGTTAAGTACCGGAGCTTTGGAATTAAGACTCTGGTTTAAATCAGACTTTTTTTTTTCTCCACTTCCCAATCGGGGGACCCAGGCCTCAGTTACTCCCATATCTAAAATGGAAATAGTAACACAACTTTCTGGCATTTGTGGCAGGGTTCAAGGGTCCTGCAGTGCCCAGGAATCAGCCGCTAGGGCAGGCTTTCCTTCCAGAGCTTTCCAGCCACCTTCCTGGAGCGCGCACGTTTCCATGTGTGGATGGGCCAGGCAGGGGGTCGGGAGCCGGGGACTGCGGAGCAGATGTGACCCGAGGGGAGGACGCGGGTGAAAGTGCTGCGCCCCGTGGTCCTCCCCCCCCCCCCCCCCCCCC